CCTTAAGTTTCGACCGGATTTTTAAGTCTATCATATTTTACCGTTTTCTTTGAGACGTTTTCTCTCTCACCATTTGATGACTATCTTGTCTAATCACAATCGACTTTAGAATGGTCCAGGACGGACCGAAACGACGTCGTCCCTTCATCTTCTAGTGTGTTGTCTTGTCAACTTTCTTGTCTATTTTTATTCCGGCCATTCGCTATTGAACCAACCGACTTGTCAGCCGGATAAATGTCTAAATTTGCATCTAAATTACAATAGCGGAATATACAACGATCCATTCATGAACTAGGTATAATTGACATTAAGAAATTTGTAGAGCCACCTTTGAGTTGTGTCCCAGGTACAGCCTGTCCTCCCTAGACAACATAATCAGGGTGATAGTTGTTATATTGATACAATTTGAAATTAGACTTAATTTTTAATGTGTCATTTAAACGCATGGATTCTTTTCAGTTTTCCCTTTTTATTACACATTCTTGCACAAGTTCATTGATACTGGCACCACTAATACGCCATGCAGGGGTTTATCGTAGCTGTGTTAGATTTAACACTACTTTTTTATATGGCCAAGAGTTCTTACATTCTTGTACAGCCACTAGCACGCATAGCGTTTCCGATAAGTCCTTAATCCTATGTTCCCCGGAATACGACCCGCCAAATCGTTTAATAACCATGTTCGACTTTTCAAAGGTTTTAAAAGGTACACATTTTACTGTTGGGTAAACAAAGGCTACCGTTAAGGATTGACGCCCAGTAAACCTTCCCCGGCCAGGATACGAGCCCAGGACAAAGTGCTCGCGAAACGCCAGGCGAGTGTCTTACCACTACACCACGAGGACTACTAATTTGCAATATGTTTAGTGCCGTTTATGTTTTGAATTTAGTACTTCTATTCGTGATGTTTTCAGTGTCATGTATGTGTTGATTCTGGTACTAATACTATATCTAATCCGACACGTTGTCAGCGTCATCTATTTTTTGAATTAGGTATTATGCTTTGACTTTCCACTACCGTCCACAGGATGGGTGTGGGGTGCGTCATAAGTAAACTAAACTAACTCTGGGACAGGCAGCCTGTGTATGTATACGTTAGGTTTATATCGAGGCACCTCCCCCCCACCAAGAGGTCGAACTAGTGATTCTCCGCAAAATACAACATTTAACTAACGGGGTGAGAATAGCTTGAGCTACCTCATCCCTTTGTGTGTATTTTACCTCAATAAACTTATTTCAATTTCAATTCAATTTCAACTAACTCCCGCGGGTACCTATTTTTTGCTAAGTAAACTACAATGCCCCCGTGTAAGCAATCTACGTTACTCAGGTGCGGGAGTGTTAAAATTAAGTAAACCAACAATGAGAGACTTACAAAGTGTCGTTGTTGAGGGCGTCGACGGAAGGCGGCCACAAGCACACGTTTCTATATACCGTAATCAACGGAGCACACTCCCTCACTGTTAACACCCGTTTACAGAGGTTGGACTGACTCTCTTCAACCTGTCCACCAGTGTTTTGAAAACCCTCTCCTCCGATTCCCTTACTTTACTGACCCTTGCCTTCCTTCACACCTAATTATACAGTAACATCATACATGTATCGAAAGCTATTATACTTTAAACTAATATATTATCTAGAATGATCTTGCATGTATTTCATTTTATTAATTGATTATTGTTGCTAGATTTTTATTAAAACTGTGGATTCGGACGTGGCGTTACAGGCGAAGCAACGAAATTACCTGAATGTATTTGAGAATTGCTAACACTAGTGGCCTCGATGAGGATAGGAAGCTGGCGGCTTGTCAATGGTACCCCCCATTTGTGCTGATTTTTTTCAAGCTGGATTTTAAAGTTCAGAATAGTTTTGGCATTTACGGCTTCTGGAATATGGTTGAGGAGGAACGTAAAATGGAACAGCCTCATTAACAATGCTTATTTTATTTATTTAAATATATACAAGAAATTACAAACGATTGTATAGATTTTGGCGATTAAATGGCGCAATCTCGCAAATATCTTAAAGAGCATATGGGAAACTTAATAAATGTGCATTACTTACTAATAAATATATAACTTATCCTTTGTTAGAGTATGTTTTAATACTATTCACGACATAGGTTACAATCTACATTATTAATTCAAGGTATAGCCTTATTATTTATGTGTGTGTTGGTGTGTTGTCTGTCCTGGAAACAGTCGGACAGGAACTACCGTCGAAAAAAAAGAGGTTACAAAGAGAACAAGCCAGGAAGAGTCACTTATCTTTCCGTAAATCATTCAACCTCAGGACACAGCACCGGATAAACAGTGTAAGCCTACCACTAAAAGATTTTTTTTAAAGAATTGAAATGGAAATTATCAGGAGAAAATCTTTCAATTAACTCAACTGAGGAGCGTCAAGAATGGAGAACGGGAAAGTCTGTGGCACTACTAAACATGGGATATCAACTGAACATAGCCACTGTCTGATGATATATTTAGCTGACAAAGGCAGCTGCTACGGCTTAAGTTAACCTGGCTGCAGTGAAAATTAAGGAAAGAGTGATGGAAATCTACACTCTAATACAAAGGAAAAGATGGTGGAGGATGGAGCATATGCAGGATTACCTACAAAACTGTACGACAGCGTGTAGGACACCCACGTGCAAGCACAGGGTAGTGAATGTATTACCATCGGCAGACAATGGACTGTAAATCAAGATGTAACAAAGATAAGTGGTAGAGTGGGAAGCGCAGGCGATATTGAGGCCTTACAGAAATATTTACATTAACTCCACAAATGAACAGATGACTGGCAAATACTTTTCAGTATTGAAAAACGCAAGATATTACATGTAGCCCATAACAATACTCACATCAGCTATCATTTATCAGCAACACGAATGTGCTCTTAATAATTATAATAATGCATTGTGTCGGGGGACAGGAAGCCAGAGTGTATTCATACACGTTAGGCTTATATCGAGGTTCTCCCCCCCCCACATTTCCCCAAGGTCGAATTACTGACCCCGCCCAGGATGCAACCACCAAAACAAGCTGACTAATTCCTGGGTACCTATTTACTGCTAGGTGAACAAAGGCATTAGGTGAAAGTAAATATGCCTAGCATGGAGAAATCATCTTCAAAAGGACATTGGAAAGGTTGAGGGGCTCACACTATCAACAATACAAATCAGACATGATAGGGCTGATCTCATCGATAATTTTAAGTTCAGGTAAGTTTATTAAGATAATAACAATACATCCCATAAGGATAGAATTGCTTAGGCTATTTCTTCCCACCTCATCAATAACTTCAAGCTAATGAATAAAAGGGAAGATATTAACCAAGACGACTCATCAGAATGTTCAATGTAACTCACATATGGGGCAACAGCTTCCAGCTCAAGACGCCGCCTTTACCTCGCGATTACCTTGTGATGATTTCGGGGTTCAACGTCCCCCTGGCCCGGTTATCGACTAGGCTTCCTGGTTGCTGGACTAGTCAACCAGGCTGTTGGACGCGACTGCTCGTAACCTGACGTATGAACCACAGCCTGCCACAATGCAAAACTGAAAACAAAAAAATTACACCATAGGATAACAATAATAAATCCATGGAATCACCTATCCACTGAAGACGTAAATGCCTAGACAACACTCCAGTAAAAAAATCAGCTAGAAGAGACAGTGTCCCTCAGGAATGTTCAGGTAAATACGATCACCAAATATCACCATCTCACAAGATGGTGACCAAACCACACACTAGAAAGCGAAGTGTGGGGTTTGGTCAAAATTTTTTGTCAGCCACGTTATTGTGACTCTTCATCACCATCTCACAGGAGGTTGGAGGTCATATACGGGATGAGAGGCGAGACTACTAGCCTGCACTAGCAAACAAGATACAGGAAACGTCCAAAGGCTTAATGGCTCATACGAGGCAGCTCCTATTTATATCCACCCAAACGCATTCATATACATGTCTAACCTACGCCTGAAACAATCCAGCGATCCCATATCCATTATGTTGCCTGGTAATTTGGGCCATAAATCAACAGCCTGTTTCCAAACTAGCATTTACCAAAGTCGTTTATGAAAATAAACTACATTTTCTTTCCATTGTTTTGAGCTCTATTTTGAGTTAATCCATTTAAAACTTTATTTATATATATCCATTTGTTACAGCTTTTTCCAACAATTTGCGAGTTATAATTACATCTATTGGCTAACCTCCTAAATTATTTTGAAAAAACAATCAGTTTACACACAGTTCATGCACTAATTTTTGTTTTAAAGATGTATAGTCAGGTCAGTATAAGGCACCAAGGTTCTGTCCCGTTTGTAGCGTCTCTGGACAGAGAGCAGGCATGTTCTATAACCACTATAACTAGTGGTTATAGAACATGCAATCCAGATTAAAAAGCTCAAGGAAAGGTTGTTGATAAAATCAAGTTTCCGAAATTACTTAAAAATGTCGGCTAAGATGGTTAAAAAACTCGGAGAGGAGAAAAACAATAAACCAGAAGCAAAGAAGGATACACATTTATTAATACGGTTCGCCAACATAAGCTTCTAGACAACATCAAACAGCTCTGAGCTGAGGCTGCTGAACTTCTAGTGTGCTACTGATTATTTTGTTTATAAAGCTGTTGTGCTTCTCTTCCTATCCAAGCCAAAGCATATGTGTAAATGACTATGGTGGACTCTCGAGACAGGTTGCACACATTCCACAAAAGAGGAGCTTGAGAAGAGTTAGAGCAAGACAAGAGAGGCCACGTTTGGCACCGAGGAAGTGTTCTGGCAGTTGAATAAAAGCGTTTACTTTGGAGTTGTTCTCCTTCCTTATCCCTGAGTAAGTCCCGCTGATGAACCTGTACAAACTCATTTACAATATTCAGGTTAATAATATATTTATATATAACTTCTGACTGGAAGAAGGGGACCCTTAGCCTCGGAGGAAACCACACATAACGCATTAGAGAGAATGTTTAGGTCCCCTCCAATACAGTTGGAGGGGGGCTGTATATATAAATGTATAAATATAAAATTATATATAATGTATATTCCAATAATATCAGCACAGTATCTTAATTGCTTCTCAACATCCTAAAAATAATGACAGGAACATAAAATTACTATATACAACAACCAGAAGACTGAAGAAGAAGTCTTATACAATGTGCATATATGTGGATTCAGAGAATCCCGACAACATAAGAATTAGTGAAATAATGGTCTACTCTAAATGTACTTGCAGCTACGGGCCATCTCCCAGGACATCACCAACCAGTCACAAAAGATAGAACAAGTCCTCATGGAAATATGATGAACAGAGAGGTTCAACAAGTCTCCGTGACATTATGATATCATCATTCAAGTGCTTTTATATCTCTTTATTAATCATCTGAAGGGTCTTTGTAATCTCTGTTATTTTTCTGGTCCAAGACAATGCATCACCACCTGTGGTGAGCCATCTGTGGTGAGCCACCTGTGATAGCCAGCCTGGCTACCACAAGTGGCTGTGAGTGCGTGAAGAAGCCATATTTAATATTATCAGTCATGTGGTGAGGCAGTAAGGGGACTTTTCCTTGATGAGCTTCTATAGCCAAGTGCTGAGGTGACGACTTCTTGCTGACCACGCTTGGTAGACAAAAATAAAGATGCGGCTCTTTACACATTCACATCAACCTCTGCAGTGATGCTGTGAAAGATGTTTAAATGATGGAGACAATGATCCCACAGAGATCTTTTGAATGACTAATAGAGAGATGTAAATAATTGGGAAAGTATCTGCACCACGGTCGCGTCCAACAGCCTGGTTGGCCAGACGACCAACTGGGAGGCCTGGCCGGAGACCGGGCCGCGGGGTCATTGATCACCAGAACCTCCACAAGGTAGACGGGAACAAAGACCTCTGGACCTATCTGCTCAATAAACATCTGACCAAAGCTATAAAGTTGATGTGGCTTTGTTAACGTATTTGGATAAATGTCACTCGAACGAATGATTACAAAAAATCCAAGCATCTGGAAACACTTGCAAAATGGTGAGAGTGATGGATGACATATAGGAAGTAGAATCGTCTTAGATGGAGTAACAATCGTCATACTCGAATAATGAGAGGAGTGCCACGAGGATACATTATTCAGCCAGCTACGTTGTTCACTTCAGTGGCAATGACGACATCCTGAATCACATCACTATCAGTTAAATGATTGGCGCAATACTTCACTATTGATCAAAATACTTGTATATACAATTCAATAAAGAAAGCAATTCTGACCTATGATGTGTAACGTGGTAACATACATCACAACTACCAGGATGAAGATCCTGCCATGCTTCCTAAAGTCTTAGGTATTGGGTCTATATGTATGTAGGAATCAGCAGTCGTATAAAACAATTAACCAAATTCAACTTTAACTCTATATACAAGAAAATGGTCATTTAGCTGTGTTAACCTCTGGAATATTTGAGCAAGTACACAACACTAACTAAAACGAGTTATATATCACTCAACAGTTCAACACAGGGTGATTTTTTTGGTTTGGTTTGGTGTTGGGCTTTAAGGCTTTCAACCATGAGAGGAGTTATTAGGCGACTACATTAGCTTATTGACCATACAGTATATGTATATATATACATATACACATACGCCAGTGAGGACAAAGTCATGAAAAATCTTTCTTTACTAGGTCACCTCGCTTGCTGAGTGCTACCGGACTAGCAGCTCTTCTAGCCAGGCACGCCAGGGCTGATTTGTAACATTTAAGATGTTGACCAAGCTTAGGGAAGCTAAGCCCCGGAAGCACCTCAAGGTAACCTCAAGGTAGGGGGACAAGCCCCAACCACTTCACGGTAAGTCGCGCCATTCATACCGGAGGCAGCATCTTCAAGTCCGTCAGCCCACAGTGCAGAACAGACAATTCTAAATTCTTCTAGAGAGCACTAGTCAGGCCAGTGAAGGCGTCTAAGTACTTAAGTTTAAAATACCTGGATTAACAACTCCGGGAGACCCTACCCTAACATGGCCCTGAGGGAAGGTGAACGCAAATATAACATAAAACCTGAAAATTAATTGTATAGTTGGTTTACAGGAGTTAAAATATTTGGGTTTCACTCAAGATCCAGCTACTTTTACGAGAGTGTACTCCATCACCATCTGAGATTCCTTGGTATCTCATTGATTTATTTTTTTGTTTGCGAAATACAAGATAGTGGATTATAAATTCACTTTAGAATTACTTGTGATTGGTGGTTCTTTTGGCTCATAATTACTGCTGGGACAACACTGCAAGTCACTAATCTTTCAAGCATGTTATTATTGTCTGCTGAGTTATTGCACTTACCTAACACTTTTCAAGACCTTTCAGGGCATGAGTGTCAAATTTGGTACAGTTATGACCCACTCTACAATAAATAATAGTATTAAAAATATAATATTTCCTTATGTCACCTCCTATGTACAAATTTATGGCACTGCGTTAAACTCTAGTGTGTATTTTCTCAGACCATCGTCGGTGTGCTGCTGACTGTAATCTCACTATAGATATTTTCAAGACCTTTCTGCATTCTCGGAACCGGTTTTGGGGGTCGGTTGAGGGTAGATGATTCAGCGTCAGGTGATGAAGCTAATATTCTGATAATTGATTTGTGATTCTCACTATTGGAGTTGGAATCTTCATAACTGTCAACGTGGTTACTGGAACACTGACATACGAACTCAGGTTCGTCCAACTGATGACGCTTTTGGTCTCTTTTAATGGCTCGAAGAGATTTCTTCTCACTAACCCTGCCTCGTGTTTTGCGAGGCACCACCATGTACCCATAATAGTTGAGCATTCCTGGGTGGTAAGTGCCATAGGGAAAATGATGTTCATTGTCAAAAACTTTCAGAAGTTCAGCATTGACCTGACGCTTTCTATGTCTGACTGTCGAAGGCACGACGAAGTTAGGCAACGGCAGACTGCAGGTGCTGGCTGATGAGTCTTGAGTCGAGAGGGAACTTGAATACGTGGACGGTGGTGACATGGGTTGCACTGGAACCATCTGGCCAATCATCGACGCTACAGGAGCCGACGAAGACATTTCTTTATTGCGACCACGAAGGAGGGTAAAGACCACAAAGACCACGGAGGAAATACAGAAGACAGCAGCCACTCCTAAAGTGATGAATAAATAAAGGCGACATTCTTGGGCTTCAATAGACTCCTGATACACCTTATCATCTGTAAACAGAGAGTTGGTAGTATAAGAACTGAGGAAAAATTTGTTGGTAAAACTCATCAATTATACTCTCAGATGCCATTTTTCAACATCAAACACATGTAATAAAAAGGGTTTAGAACGTTACAATGTTTTCAAATTCATTGAAACAAGAGTGAATTTTAAAACTAGATGATACTGAGTGAAGTAAAAATGAGTCTTGAGACTGTAGAAGACAACTGAGTGAAGCAGCAGCGAGAGATAAAACAATTCTCAGTGAGTCAAAATTCCAGAATTGACCGGATGCAATATTATTGATCACTACATACATTTTCAGGGGATACTGGTCTCCAACATAGTTACTCATCATGTACATAATATACAATAGTTTCACAACCCTACCACAGACAGTAAAATCACAATTTACCATATTTACTCATCAAAATAAACTACTCTTTATAAATTCGATATTACAAGCACATTTCTGAATACATGATGTGTATTAGTACAAAACGTCAAGTATTTAGATCATGATAGACCCAAATTAGAAGCATTCAGTTCTACAGCTTACTAGGAATTTTGACCCTGACGGGTAAGTTCCTCTTCCAGTTGGTAGTGTTCTCGTGTGCCCAGTGGGAGTTGCTGGTGGACGCTGACGGCGGCGGGGCAGAGGAAGGCCCTGTGATAGGAGGCGGGTAAGGAGGCCCGGACGAGGAGGACGAGGAGAGGATACCTGAAGGTGGGACAACCGTTGTGAAGGTGAACTGCTCCACCGCTCGCTTCTTCCTCCTACCGAACCCAAGAAGATCGTCGTCTCCCGGGCCACAGTTGGTCTGGAGGACACAAGAACACACTCTAGTCATGCATGTTTAATTATGAGAGACATATTCCCTAAATAAAGCTATACACGTATAAAATAATCACATTGAACACTGAACAAGAGCACAATACAGACTGAACTCTGAACAACACACACAGAACAAGAACACAGTACAGACTGAACACTGAACAATGCAGATTGAACACTGAACAACACACAGGACAAGAGCACAATGCAGTCTGAGCACTGAACAAAAACACAACATCGGTCCACCAATATGAATAAAAAATATAAAAATAACTATTTATCTGCCTAAAAACGCAACATAACTAATTATTCACGTTGACAGCTTCCTATAAGCACGCTCAATTATCAAATCTTATCCCATCACCAACTATAGCAGAATTTGCATATGCAGATTACATGGACACGTTATCACAGACGTCTTACGCACCGGAGCGCAGTCTTTGGCGTCGACGCAGCCGATGACATTAGCGGTGATCATGAGCGTGTCACCCACCTCCATGTCTTGGAACATGAACATCCGGAAAGTGAAGTTGTTGATCAATGGGTTCCGTGGATCCCTCTTCGGGTGATTGCGAGCGATTACCTACAGGATCCAACGTCGGATATTATCATTCAAGATTAAATACGAAGTTATTATCTATCACAACATTGTATATGTACACACAGTATATAGAATTTATATTATACAAATACTAAGCTATGGATTAAGGTCAAGGACGAAGTGGGAGGTGAGGATGACCTTGTAGGAGGGGTTACGGCAGCCGTCAGCGAAGACCAGGTCAGCAGCGTTGAGGATGGAGCGGGCCCGCGGGGCCCCCACCTTCTGTATGATGATGGTGGTGATGCGACTGTACTGCCACCCTGCGCCAGGTACACCAACTCATCATACATGTAGCTCAACATGTGGTATACATAAGTGCCTCATAATACCTCAATAAACGATGCCGCGACAGTAAATATGCAAGAGACGTGACCGCCACCTATACTTGGTTAGTGGCCTTGAATCTTAACACTACTATTCAGCGAACTTAATGTAGAAATTTTGATTTTATTCAGTTATAAATCTCGCCAGATGCTTATTTTATGTGATTAAAGTATTGTAATGCGTAACATAGCTTCTAACCTTTGCTCCACGCACCATTATAAGCCATTTTGAAACCCTTAACCAATTCCTCTCCGTACCATCCCAAATCCTTTTCCTGACCCCCTTCCAAGTGCTATATAGGCCTAATGGCTTGGCGCTTTTCCCTGACAATTCCCTCCTTCCCTTATATCAGCCTACACTCGAGAACTGTTAGGTCGATAACCAAGAATAGAGCCACTGTTCTGCCTGAGAGTATAGAGAAGTAACTATTGTAAGAAGGTGCAAAATCTATCTAAACTAGAAGCACTAGCTTAGAAAGCTTGAATATAAGCTATGAGTTTCATGTCGTTCACTGTTCATATACAATAAGCTCTAGAAAAACATGCAATAAAATAAAGGTTGGCATGATTTAGCAACTTTTCCAGCTCTGATTTAGAAGTAAGAAGTTGTTAAGAATTGTCAACATTATAGTGACTCCCAGGACAGCACGACTGAAATACTGACTACATCAAATATACTTACCATCACCGGCCCTCACGATAGACCGAAGCTGTACCTCCTCCCCTAAGTCAAGCTCCACCTCTGGTGTCACTATGGACGCAAAGAGCTCTGTTCCCGGAAGCTTTCTGAAGAGGCCAATTTCACACTGGAACTCCTGCTGGCCTCCCTCGAACATCGACGTGGAGCCGCCTCCACTTCTGAATTCGTTGAAAAATGGGTTAATTGTAGAGGAAAGAGAGAGAGAGAGAGAGAGTGAGAGAGAGAGAGAATTAGAGAGAGAGAGAGAGAGAGAGAGAGAGAGAGAGAGAGAGAGAGAGAGAGAGAGAGAGAGAGAGAGAGAGAGAGAGAGAGAGAGAGAGAGAGAGAGAGAGAAAATCTAGGGTAAAAGAGAAACAAAAAATGAAAAGAAAATACAAAATAAGAATGTTGTAATAAAAAGTTAAAAGTGACAAAGAAGCTATATAGAATAATGATATTATGGACTTTGAGCCCAGTTCACTCGGAGGCTCCCATGTACAGTACTAGAGCCAGAATATGGGGCATTTAGCCAACCAATTTAAACTCAGAGTCTAAAGATGTAAATTGGGGCATTTTACCAGTCTTTCCCAAACAAAGGACTAGAGGCATTTCTCAGTAACGCAGTAAAGCACATATTTTAAATCTGCCGGATATTGGTCAACCAATGAAGCTTTATTATTGCTATATAAAAGAATTGCGTTTTACAAACGTTATTAACTGCTTTTAGTTTAAATGAGTAATTATTTTTTCACTGGTTAGTTATCTATTGTATTCTTATTCTAATCTCTAACCCAGTTGCCTTAATGTTATAACTCAAGTTAAAGAATTTCATAGTTACATTAGACATGTTGAATATATTACTAAATACTAAGAAGCTTAAAAAATAGTTAAGTGGTAAAATATATGGCTTTCTTTTCTTACCATAGCAAAGAAGAAGAGCAAAGAAAACTTAATTTAAATACAATTTGTAGTAAAATAAGCATCACGAATTTATACACAAAATCTCATAGATGGATTAATTAGAATTTGAATGCGTAAATATAAAACCAGAAAAACATTAAACAGACGCAAAGAACAAAGAGAGTAACGTCAACGTAGGCTCCCAGTAGGTAAGAGTTAATGGCGTTGAAAGAGTCGAGAGCAGTGAGAGCGCTGTGAAGAGTGTCTTGGTCAGGGCTGGTACCTCTCTTTTGTCATCATACATTGCTTCCACCTCCTATACCACTGTGTATTATAGATATATATGTGTCATTCAAATGTATCATCGACTGTATATGCTGGTATGTAAAGATAGTGACCAGGATTCTCCCTAACTAGCTTCACGGAGTTTAGCTCCTGGTCTCGCCTCGGAGCTTTGTAGATCGATGTAATTGGGTTTTACCATATGTATTTTTGACTGCATGTATTAACACTCGGCTATTTCTCCCAGCTTGTTCTCCCTCCTCAGTACCATAACACTAAACAGTTCTCTGGACATCAGTGGACATCCCACTGACTCATCCATGCACTCAGCTTCCAGTCTTTTAGTCTTTCTGTCTCCCAGTCCAGGTCTCTCCCATTTCAAACAGTCCGCATTTGTCCCCTCTGCCTGCACCACGGCGAGATCTCCTGTGTGTAAATACCCTCTTACGATAGATGTCTTACATTTTTCCGATATAGTGAGATCAAGATCCTGGAAACATTCCCTGAACCTCATGCTTCTAAACTCCAAGACTAAGCTGGTGGCAAATTTCTGGATTATCAGAAGTTTCTTTACGTGATTAGTAAGGGTAGGGTTCCAGGTGTGCGTGCAACATCTTCCAAATATAGATCTTACAAGATCCTACAATCGATCAATGCCAAGATCTTACAATCTTGGCATACAGAGTCCTAAATAGCTACTTCTTTCAATTTCAGAACTCATTCCTAATATTTTTGCCAATCTTGCACGATCTACTGATTTTTTTTACCATTGCTATGAGTTTCGTGGGGCATGTCAGGTGTGATATCTAACTCTCGGGTCCTTTTTTGTACTGAACACCTGGAGGCGCTTCCCTCCAAGACGATAGGTCGTCTCCAGCCTGGTATATATATTGCACCCAAATTAGTCTTTGTTTACGTTTGACCAGATTAGTCCCTGAATATATTTTATATATTAGCCCATTTATAAGTTTGATGCAAGTTAATAACTGTATAATGTAGATATCTTCACACTGAGCTGATTCGTTAATAATGCAAAAGCTATCATAAGAGTGCAAATGTTGAAGAAAAAACAGTTCAATCTTTTATTGCATTCATATTTGAATAGTAGCTCTCTGGTGTGAATTCCTGGAAGATTTTTTAAGAACTATTTTGAATAAATCAAATAAATGTATTTCCAAGCAATTTATAACATGAAACTTATTGTAATTTGTTAATATGGATGCTGTTCAAAGTCTTGAGAAAGTAATATTTAACATTATTTATATTCTGTTAAGAAATGTCGCCTTTCGTGTTAAATCATTAATACACGATCTAGTGTCTGAGTCTGTAAATGTCTCGTTCTAACACACACACACACACACACACACACACACACACACACACACACACACACACACACATACAACAGAAACTATATCTTCATGTTATAATTAGAATGGCGCAATACAAAATGTATTACATATGAGCTTTATAAAAGCAAAAAATATGCTTTACTGTAAAACACTCAACTAGCTAAAGAAGTAGCGGCTGTCCACGAAGAAGCAGAAAGCCCATCTTTAGTAAAAGGCCTAATAACCATTTTCCTGTTGTTAACTAAACCCGCGATTAACTTCATCCCTAGTCCAGATTAAGTAGATCAAAAATATCAGTAAATCATGCAATTAGACAAGTGTTTTAGTCCTCCGTTCGTCCATGATAGAAAACGAATAGAGGGAGAATGGGAGATGGGTGCCTACATTGCCTCCTTAGCAGCATACTTGGCAGTGGCGACCCTGAGGATGTGGGTGTCCTGGGCCACCTTGTCCTGAGGTCGGCACCTGATCTGGATGATCTCGTCCTCTGGAAGCTTAAGGCCGTTCACCAGCGGGAACCGTAGCTGGAGACACAACCAAGTCTGCAACATCAAGTCTTCTCTATACACTACTATACAGAACAGAGTACTGTAAGGAGATATGAAAGATATAAAGGTTCACGTAAAGGGAAAAATTTGATACATATATTGTATAGATCATTTTTGTAGTCGTGGAAAGTTTCATTATTCCTCACATGCACACAATACAAAAGCGTCCTGGCAACTTTTTTTAGAGATTTTGTTCAAATCTCTCTCAATAATTAAACATGTTTTGTTATAATGAAATAGTGATTCATATACATACAAAACGATCAACTAGCAAATAAATGTTAACAAATAAATAATATTTTTCATATACCATCGAAAAATAAACAGTTGAGAGAGAGGGGGGGGGGGGGGAGAGAGAGAGAGAGAGAGAGAGAGAGAGAGAGAGAGAGAGAGAGAGAGAGAGAGAGAGAGAGAGAGAGAGAGAGAGAGAGAGAGAGAGAGAGAGAGAGAGAGAGAGAGAGAGAGATAAGACAATAAGTATCACTTGAGTGCGTGTGTACACTTGTACATCACGCGATCAAGCGACTCATCTAACTCCGCCAACAAGACACAGGGCAGCTCACCTCGCCATTAGGTTGGCGACACTCCCTCACTCCGCACCGCTCCAAGTCCGAGACAATGAGCTGGAACATGTCGTTGGTGAGCTGGGTGGGAATCATCCTGCAGGCGGTGTTGATGGTGGGGTCGATGGTGGGCCGGTCCTCGAACACGGGGATGGCGTTGTATCCCACCGGGAGAGACAGCACCGCCATGAACGAACTCGTCGCCCCGGTGTTCATACACTTGATGTCTTCCCGTATTAAGGCAGGTGGAAAATTATTGTGAATTAGATGATGATAAATTGATTGACAAACAATATTGACTGAAAGGTTATTTCGCTTGAATAATCGGTAATCTACGGAAAATAGCAAGTCAATGTATTTACGAAAAGGTCAGATATCTCAGGGGTCCTGGCAGCAGGAAGATCATTGTCGATGACGTCCGACAAAGCACTAAATCTTCAAGTTGAAATCAGATGTAAACATGTCAAGTATTAAATGACAAAGCTAGCACAAGGACATATCCTTGACCTTGCTACCGCAGTACCTTACTGACCAGTATGTTCATTGTACTTAGGCCTGACGTCCTTCAGTAGAACGATATGGGTGGAAAATTATATTATAAATTATGTACATACATTAGAGTGAAATGAAAGTTCTTACCGGTGACCTGTGCTTGGTCAGCTCCAGGTGGGGGTGACGGTGAACTGATGGGTGGTGGGATAGCTGGTGGTCCAACGCTGCCCATCATGGTAGGAGTGGGTGTGGACGGTGGTAAGACTGGTGGAGCAGGAGGCTTAACCCCGAACCCTGGTAGCGCCGGGGGTCCGAAAAGACCTTGAGCAAGCGATGGAGGTGGCGCCGGAGGACGGACAGACGGAGGTCCCGCTGCACTTCTCGCTGTGGTGGACCCATGCTGTTGGCGACACATTGGTATCACGGCTCACGTTACTGACAGAGATTTGCAAGTGGACAAATAATTAGTTGTGCACAGGGTCTTCCACATCATACTAAATGTAGGTCACTGGACAGGTAAATGTTCATTGCTTGATCCGCCTGGCGGGTGATGAATGAAACACCACGGCACTTACTTTAAGGGGTCAATACAACAAAACAGGGGCGTGAGGCGTGACTGTAAGAATATATATAAAGACGTAGCCAACACAGCTCTCAGTTCTCTAGCTTCTAAGAAAACAATTCATCACCAACAGTAATTACAAAAATATTGAAGTCAGGAAGATTATTGTAAATAATTATCCTATGATTTTCCCACCAATTTAAGAGCCAAGTATATGTACGTATATACGGTAGAAAACGGTTAACTCAAATTCAGAATTATCGTAAGACAAAATAGCCTAAGCCTCCATTCCAGATATGAGAAATATTGTCGGATCAAAAAGTGGACGTTTTTAAGAAACAGTCAGACAAGCTCCTACAGGAAGTGCTGGACCAACCGGATTGTAGTTGACATTTGGGCCTGCACGCTGCTCCAAGTAACAGCTCCCTTTAAGAGGCAGCGTGACTCCGAGTGACACCGGAGGAACTTAGATTTTGAATGACATGAATGAGAGCGTGATTAAATGACACAACACAGTGACAATGACGAGTACAAGACACAACAACGAGACAGAAACAAATTAGACACAGTGAGAGTGACAGTTTCTAATCAGACCGAGAAAAGTAAGCTTTTCCCGTCTCTAATGTGTGATTTAATACTCATTTGACTGTGACACTGAGTGACTCCGAAGAGACTGACGCTGAATTATTCCCCAAAGCTCCAGAGAGCTTGTACTTGGAGGGCCCCCGTGAGGATGACCCCGTGAGGTGGACCTCGTGAGGTGGACCCTGTGAGGGGGACCTACCGTCTTTGAACGTCGCCTGATTCCTAGAAGGCTGGGCCGCAGTTTCCTCCTGGGCCCGCCTGCGGCCACTCCCATCCTGTTGATGGGTATTCGTACTCTTATGGGGTGCAACGTTTCATTCGTGGGGCCATGAATATCGTCTTCCCAGGGGTCATTGTCCTCCTGAGGTTCCTCGTCCTCCCTAACGTGGTCGTTAGGGGTTATAGAAGGTGGTGTATCTTCACTGCCGTCATCACCCTCGACAATGATCTCTGAGCTCTGCAAGGATATAGATATATATGAACAGTTACACAATTCGGTTTCCATTTGTCACAATCCCGCACAGTAATATCAAATCTGCTAATCGTCTATGAATACGAATAGGAAATTACACAAGAATTGAATAAGCCGTCTGAATTTACATTTATTTTAAATAAATATGAAAAATATAGCTTGAAAGCCTATTCCGGAAACTACAGATGATAAGGGGAATAAAAGACGTACTTTTACAGTGAATTTACAAAGAAAATAAAAGGAGAGTAACGGTACAAGTGGGTGAAACGAGAAGACTTATGTGGAAACTAGAGCCAGACGAGTCATAGAGGATGCAAGGAAGTACTTCAGTGTAAGAACAGTGAGTGGAATGAGCATGGAAGGAGAGACTGTTGAGACTAATTCCCCACAGTGTCAAGAGTAGGCATGATAAGCGGCAAGAGAGTCAGTAACCATTGCAATAAGCTAACGGAGATTGATAGTCATGGGGTCAAGAGCTTAAAAGCACAGTGTTAGCGCACAGAGGTGAGAACACACACATTGTATCACTTTTAGTAACACTGCTACCTTATTCACTCTTGTGTTATGATATCCTCATAGTGCACCCAGAGTATGCCAGTGCAGACTACTTATCACATGCTTTTGTATGACTAACCATCCTGTGTGATGGGAATTACTTCACGTAGCTAGCTTTTTGACACACTGTACTCCCCTTCATATAGTCTAGGGCAGCTGCACAAGTGCAGATGTACCTAAATATGTTAATACAAACAAAAACAAAAGTATACACACACTGACCGGAGCGACAAAGGTGGCGTTCCGCCTGGGCCGCGTCGAGGATATCATAGGGGAGGACACCCTGCCGTAGCCAAAGGGACTCGGGTACCCATATGCGGAGATCCTTATGAGCGAGGAGGCGTGGCACCAGCCGCACGCCCACACACACGCCAGCATAAGCACCCACGCCCTCATCTGTGGGTAAGGGGAGAGAGAAGTCTCCATTATTCACTCGTCTGTTCGTGTACGCTCCTGTTAATAAAAAGTATTATAAAATCCGAGGTTTCCTAGAGAGATTACAACTGAACTCGGGACTAAATCTTCACAGGATATGATGAATTCCATAACCATAAAATACAAGGGTTGGCTAAGGACATCAGCAGCTGGATGACTGTGGACATTATGGTATGCTGAAGGTGACCCTTTTGACCAGTACTGGTCTGAAGGTGACTCTTTGACCAGCTTTGGTTTGAAGGAAACTCAAGAAATTTCTCGAGCATGTTAAGCGACATGATATACCAAATTGAGAGAATATAAAACAACAGCTCCTCAAAAAATTCATTCAGATTTTGACGCAAAACTTCAGCAAAGTTGAGAAATAAATACGAAACTACATGCTCAAGTGTAATTGACTGCAGCAGCGATGATGAAGAAGCCGAGACAGTGGCTATCCGCGCGCTGACGTTCCCAAGACGAGCACCACTAAGTGACAGTATTCCTTTCAGGAACTGAGCGCCACCTGGCGTAAGTATGCTCACGTCATGCACAGTACTTTCAATTTATTTATGAATGACGTCTGTGCTCTGTAGTATTGACAGGCTAAACCAAGCATGTGTCACAAGGTATTATGTCAATGATTATTTTTTATTTGCAACTGCATATATCGGCATATATATACGAACACGATCTGTCAAATATTATCTGATTAATGTGGTTAATTGAAAGACGAAGCTTCATGACAAATATTATATATATATATATATATATATATATATATATATATATATATATATATATATATATATATATATATATATATATATATATATATATATATATATATATATATATTTACATCTTCTGCATCATTTACGAAAATCACCTTAAAATGCAATAGAAACAGATCTAGAACTTTCACAAATGACTAGTTCTTGAAGTATTCAAGAAATGTCTGAAATGTTTGCAAGAAGCTGAGCTGGAAATTTTAAAAGAAACTTGTCTTCATTACATTTTTCATGAAACTATTTTGAAACACTGTCAAGGAAGCTGGAATCATTTATATTCTGAAGGAAGCTAAGGTTTTTGGAACATTTGATGATGATGTATCTGAAGTCTTTAAATACGCCAAGACAAATATTTTTTGGGGGGATATTTGAAGACCGTGAATCTTCTAAGACATTTAAAGGCAGCTTGTGAAGCTGAACGTTATAAAGAGTATGCTTACTCAGAAGGGGAGAAAACCCGGCTGATCTTCAGAACATGAGATGATAATCTTTTGAACATAATAAGATGCTGATTTTCGAAACATGAGACGTTGATCTCTCAGAACATAAGAAGATGCTGATCTCTCAGAACATGAGAAGATGCTGATCTCTCAGAATATGAGAAGATGCTGATCTCTCAGAACATGAGAAGATGCTGAGCTCTCAGAAAATGAGGAAATGCTGGCTACCCGGAACGTTTGATATACCAATCGTTCATGTGTATAGAAGTTTAAAGCTAAAACCCTAAGACCCGGACTCGTAACAAAATTAATATTAATCGTAAATACAGAAAAGACAAAGACGAGAAGCCAATTCACTATTTCACAAGTCATTTAAAGAAAACTTATTTTTTCGTGTAATATTCTCCGCGGCCAAGGACGCCGATAAGCATACAGGAGGCTGTATATCAGGCCGGGAGATGGGAGCGACACGAGGCATAACTCAGTGCTCATAATATGCAAATGTGCATCACTAGATGGGAGAGAAAAACAAGAAGTTTGCCTTTAGAGACCCTTTCTACTACCGGTTTTCTCCTAATGTGAAATAAGCGCTTCCTGTATTTCTCTGATTGACGGTTTTATAAATAAAAAAATAAATACAGAAATATAATCTCTGGCAGGATAGGTGGCCACCCACCAGTCACTGGCAGGATAGGTGGCCACCCACCACCCACCAGTTACTGGCAGGATAGATGGCCACCCACCACCCACCAGTCACTGGCAGGATAGATGGCCATCCACCACCCACCAGTCACTGGCAGGATAGATTACCACCCACTACTCATCTAGCTGGAAAGTAAGAAAAACAGGTTCTAGTGCGTTGTGGGGAAAGGGTAGTAGAGGAAAGGAGCGGAAGACTAGTTTCAGAACTCCACATGGAGAGAGAGAGAGAGAGAGAGAGAGAGAGAGAGAGAGAGAGAGAGAGAGAGAGAGAGAGAGAGAGAGATTATATGCTCCTTGATGGAGCTCTGTTGTTTATGCATTGTTAATCGCCTAGATAGAGACGTTGATGTCTTACCTATATTCTGAGATCATTGTGGCTGACAACCTTTAGGCGATTAACAATGCATAATCAACAGGGCTCCATCAAGGAGCATATAATCTCCTCACACAACCAGACCATCACCAGAGAAATCTTAACAAGCAACACAGAAATTATCGACAGATACAACGATAACAGGAGACTCGACATCAGCGAGGCTCTACACATCAAAAAGTCAAAACCAGCAATAAACACCCAATTAATACATAATTATATTCTACCCACTTCAAGACCTCGAACCAGCACAGAAGCAAGAAGATAAATGTATACCCATTGTTATATACCTATTGTATATACCCATTGTTTCGTGTTCTGTCTTTTCCCATTGATTTGTTTCCTGTCACTTCACCCCCAAAAAATTGTATCCTAACACCTCACCCAAAAACGAATATAAGCACGATCTGAGTATGTAAAATTGTCTTTGAAAATATAAGAAGTGTTCTTGCGAAACGCTTCAAGGCGTCAGACCGTAAATTGAAGTGTGAAAATGAACTTTGGAGAGTCAATTTCTGAACTACCTCCGACAGTGAAGAAAAACCTAAGAAATATTGAGAAGATTCGTGTTAGAATCATTTATCTTACCCTCTCGGTCATATTAAACAACATATATATATATATATATATATATATATATATATATATATATATATATATATATATATATATATATATATATATATATATATATATATATATATATATATATATATGCCTTTGTGCAAGAAAGCCAGAGGGTAAGAGAGGAGTCACCGGGGTGAGTCTGCTACTGGGGAATGTAGGAGAAAGAACGGCATGTATCTCATCTGATATGCTGGATTCCTCAGTCAGAGAGAGCTGATGAACTGGGGGTACTCCACTCTCACGTCTAGACGTCTATATATTTATTATATATATATATATATATATATATATATATATATATATATATATATATATATATATATATATATATATATATCCTTTTCGTGCATTCGTACTTAAACACTTAAATGTATATATATATTCATACATATGCACAGGCGTACATTCATAATCGAGTCTAGTATTTACACACACACACACACACACACACACACACACACACACACACACACACACACACACACACACACACACACACACACACACACACACACACACACACACAGCTCAGTCCCAGAACTGAGAGATATGAGCTACGAGGAAAGGCTTTGGGAGCTAAACCTCACGTCCCTGGAGGACAGAAGAGTAAGAGGAGACATAATAACCACCTACAAAATTCTCAGGGGAATTAACAGGGTGGGACAAAGATAAACTATTTAGCACGAGTGGAACACAAACAAGGGGAGACAGGTGGAAATGTAGTACCCAAATGAGCCACAGAGACATTAGAAAGAATTTTTTTAGTATCAGAGTAGTTATATGGAATGCATTAGGCATATAACATATGGAATGCATTAGGGAATGATGTGGTGGAGGCAGACGCCATACAGTTTCAAATGTAGATATGATAGAGCCCAGTAGGTTCAGGAATCTGTACTCCAGTCGATTGACGGTTGAGAGTCGGGACCAAAGAGCCAGAGCTCAACCCCCGCAAGTACAGCTAGGTGAGTATACACACTCCAAAATTTCCCAGATCCATGGGCGTCTTATCCCCAAAAAGCCTTGAATACCAATCGCTGAACTTAACAACAGCAATTACACGCAGATTGGCGCAGACAACATCTAGAATATATACAATAAAGACAAGTTAACTGAGGAGACGGTGACAGCCAAGATGAGTATCGGGCCTTCATAAGGCGGCACACTGCACGCTGAGGTAAACAAACACATTCACAGGATTATCACTTATCTGATGAAGGGACGCTGAGTGAAGCCAGCAAGATGGTGCTGCCGCGGTGGAACTTTGGCTATTGCTGCTGCTTTATCCTGCAGCCGCTCTATCATGCTTCTTTTACTGACGAAGGACGAAGGAAGCGGCAGCAAAGTAATCCAATTACAAATTGCATTCGGACTCGCGACGTGCGGATGTTTCCATGGTAACGGAAATACGAAATATGTAGCCTGTACTTAGAACAAATAAGTACATTTGTCTCTATGAACGTGGAGGTGCTAAATTTATGTACACGGAGGCGCTAAATTATACACGTGAAGACTCTACATTTGTGTACGTGGAGATGCTACATTTAGCACGTGGATGTGTCAAATTTACATAAGTGAAGGTCCTAAATGTATGCACGTGGAAAGTACTACATTTATGCACGTGCAGGCACTGCATTTATGCACGTGAAGGCACTGCATTTATGTACATGAAGGCACTACATTTATGCACATGAAGGCACTGCATTTATGCACGTGAAGGCACTGCATTTATGTACGTGAAGGCACTACATTTATGTACATGAAGGCACTACATTTATGTACGTGAAGGTGGTAAATTATACACATGAAGAGCCTAAACTTAATTAGAGGTCAAGAGCCAGTGTACTAAAGACATACACCACTGTGTACTCTCTACAGTACTGAATCAGAGGTGTCAGCTTGAATCATTTTCTAACTTTCAGAAGATTGTTCTCAAGCAGGAAGTAGCAACCATAATAGGAACGGCAGTAAAAACTGGCCGTAAGATTAAATTTTACATTTCGGACTTAGCGTCCTAAATATATATATTATATATTCCCGTACATGATATATACGACAAAAAAGTACTACTGCCTTATA